ATTTGTTTTTAATTTTGAATTAAAAAATAATTTTTTAATAAATATATTATACAATATGTTAAACTAAAATATGTACAAAATAATATTCATTTTAAATATTTAAAAAAACTTCTTAAAAATTAGTATTATAAAATTTTGAATTGATTTTTTTTCTACCTTTTAAATAAGGAAAAGAGTTAAAAACAAAAAAAATAAAAATAAAAAGAAAAACAAAAATAAAAAAAACTTTCCTGTCTCCCCTTTCCCTCTAAATTTTTTGATGGAGATATCATAGACGATGTTCGGGGCTGGGTTCATGAATTTCATAGATATATATACTCCAAATAACAAGATGCATGTAAGCAATTCAGAATGGAGCTCAAATTAGAATGTCATACACCATTATACAATGACCATAATCAGCAGCAACCACTAGTCGATTTGCTTGACTTTCGAGTACAATGAGAATTCCAACTCCTACACACAAAAGGCATCCAAGGAACATACCCAAAGCTTGCTAAACCGTTATCTGAAAGCAGTGGAAAATATAGAGGGGTGAGCTAAAAAGGCACCACTTGCAAGCCAAATCCAACTAATTAGGAATTTACAATAGTTGATTTCAATAGAGTTCTTAAGCCAAAGCACAAATTAACTAAAGCATTTCAAAATAGGTCGTGTTATTATGGTCACACAAAGAATTGTTATTTGCACAAAAAAGATTGTTATTGCTACACAAAACACTGTAAGAATATTTAATTTGTCTAATTTATCAGTATATGGTTACTAAAGTGTTTGGTAGCATAAATTTGTATGCTGATTCCATTGTTATAATTAAAGACTAAATGTTGTCAACTGCTCTTAACAGTAACAGTCAAACCAAATATATATATATTATATATATATTATTTTTACGTGGCCTTAACAATTCTTTGTGTGCCTTGACAATGGCCTTCAAAATCACAATACAAAACAGAACATCCATGTCGAAATTACAATGCTATTAAATCTATCGAATATGTTAGCACTCACATTATGGATGGAGCTAGTCTCAGTAACCCTACTGCCAGAGGACCACTATAACCTTGGAAAGTCCTCCGAATACCTCAATCCTCAAACAATAAGTTATATGGTTCACACAATATTAATAGGAATTAAGTCCCTTGAAATCCGTATAATTTACAATACTAAATTGTAGTTCGTAAATCTACATGCAGTGATTTTTGTAGAAATGCACATAAAGTTCTGTCATACTCGGTAAAGATTCACACAAATTTAGACTAAGCTCGTGAAGTTTCAAGGCATGAAAAGCCATAACCGTATGTTTTATAGTCATGAACTCAAAGTATAGGTTCATTATAACTTAGGAATGCAAATTCAATACAAGTGACTCAATAAAATTAATTATAAGCAAATTCAACTCAATATATGCACAGAAAATAATACCTACTCACAGAAAAATCCCAATTAGAACGCTTGCTGATTAATATTATCAACTTAACCCAAATTCCTATCAATTTCAGCTAAGTAATATTTGCAATAAGTAATGTTTGTAGCGAGAGGCATGTTATTTTTCAAGTAATTAACCTTTATCGAGGCTCCAACAGTGAGAGGCTAAGTTCATTGGTTGAAGATGATTTAGGCTTGCTAGATGAAGAACTTGCTTCCAATGATTTCTTGTTAAAAAGGAAACCAGGTTCTTTGGGATTTACCATTACAGTCTCAGTACCTAGCATTAAAACCACAGAGGACATACTCGGTATTAAGGAAAGCAAATTCCCTCCATGAAGTCCTGGATTGTCTCTATGAAATCCCA